TTTACTTTTATCACCTGTTCTAGAAATAAATGCGAAAGAAATAATGCTAATTAAAAACAATGCCACAGTTATATAAAACAAAAAGGATAATTTGTTTCACTGCTGTCCTTTTCCCATTTCGTCTAACATTGTTAGATAACTAACAATAATAGGAAGTTCAATAATGAGAAAACACAGAAAATGGGAGGGAGGAGGAATTCATCAAGAAAACAAATGAAGAAAATTTCCTAGAACCAAAGGACAGGAGTTGCCAGACCAACAGTGGAGAGAGACCCATATCAGAGATCTCATTGGGAAGCTTAAGAACACTGGGGACAAAGAAGATTATGTAAGATTCTAGAGGAAAGCAGATCTCACACAATGGGTCAGGAATCTGAGTGGCGTTACACTTTGCATCGGGAATATCCAAAGCAGAGATGCTTTGCCAGGTGGGCCTCCCCACTGGGCTTCTTGAGTGTGCTTATGATAGAACAGCCGGATTTCCCCAAGCAGTGATTCAAGAGAGGGCAAGGGAAGCCACAATGTCCTTTATGGCCTTTGCTAACACCTTTTAAACTTTAATGGTGTTTTCAATTCTTCCTAAACAAATCATATAATTTAACTGAATCAAGCCTATGGGCTTGGTATACAGACAGAAAGAAAAGTGTAGAAATGGTAGTAATTTTCTAGCCTCATATTTGTCCGCATCTTGCCCCAGGATGGAAGATCCTAATGGTTCCTATGTGTTAATTCGGCATGGAGTTGGCTTATTATAGACATGATATTAATCTTTCTCCTGACTAAGGCTCAGCTGTCCTCATCTCTACTCTATGGGAGCACCAAAGGGATCAGTGGGTTACAGAGCATCGCCCTCGTAAGACAGATAGGATGCCCAATCTGTGTCACAGCCTCAGATCTTTAATGGGGTTCCCCCCACCTGACTACCCTCCAGTAGAGGAAAATAAATTTCTGACCAAGACGACTACCTCAAAGCCAAGTTTATGAGAAAGTGTATGTAGGGTAAGGGGAAATGCTTCTCTCTCACTGGCTTCTTTCCTTCTAAGACCCAGAGAAGAGGGAGACCTCACTATTGTTGGCTTGACTATTTTTCTTTTACTTAGGAAAACCACTAAAAAATATTTGTCAAGTTAGATCCCGTTAAATAGTAATATATGGTATATATTCATAATTTTTAGTCAAGGCATCTGAGGTCTTACCATTAGGAAGGTCCTTATTTCTATTTATTAAACTGTTTATATATTTTTTACAAGATACAAAAATTGCTGTGGGGACATATACCCATAAATGGGATGGAAATTATTTCACCTTTTTAGTTCAACTCTGAAATTAGATAATCACATCAGAAGATAGAAAAATATCTTCTGCTCAGTTGAAAGTTGATTCTTATTTTTATCTCACAGCATCCTATTTTTTCCCTTTCTTTATAATTATGGCAGCTTGTCATGTACATAAAGATCACACAAATGTGAAGGCACACACATACAAATGCACTTAGACATACTCCTCTGAGGTTCAGCTGGGTTTATTAATTTATAAATGTTAACACTGACAGGTAAAAGTGAGGTAGTGATTGTTATATGGATTGTTATAAGGCCTGTTGGTCTGGGAGGCCACATCTGTGTTTCTAGAGGCCAGGATAATGTTTTAAAGAAGTTTGAATTTGAAAGCTTTTGGATGAGATGTGTGTGTTATCTGCTTGAACCCCTGAAGGCATTTGAGTTTCTCAGGTAATAGGACTTGTAGGCATTTCTGAATATTTATTTGTGTCATATTATTGACATTAAAATTTGACTATAGCATGTGAGTTAAATATGTCACCTCTTTTTAACATAATATTCATATGATATGCTATAACTATAGAGACTATATTATAGTATTATATATTATATATACTTGTGCACATATATATATGCATTATATAAGCATATATATTTATGTTATGTCAGGCATTTATATTAAAAAATGTCATCCACTTTTAGCATGAAATTATGTGTTTTAAAGTTTTAAGAAATGTAAAAGGCTGAAATTTATTTTAAAATATAGAGAGGTCCCAAAACACTAATCAAATAGATGAAATAATACATCTATGATGCAAAGATGGACAGAGAATATTGATGAAAGAATATTTGGAAATGAAAGTAAAATGCCAGATTTGAATGTTGTAATCAATATAGAGAACTATGTGGTATGAAATATGCATTAAATATTTCAGCTGAGTATTTTTGCATTGAAACATATGGGGGACTATAGTGAAACACGTTGAATACATATGATACATTAACTAGTAAGATAAATAGTGTATTATTAGCTATCAAGATAAATAATAGTAGCCACATTCATATATATTTTTGGGATTTACCTATTTGATGCCTGTCTACCCCCATGTAATACAAATTCCACGAGGGTAAGAATGTCTGCTTTGTCATTATGACATACTTTTAGCACATCACTTGTCATACAGAAAGAAGGTACTCAATGAATATTTGTTACAAAAGTGGCTGGACCACAGGTTCAGTTCACTGACCTGTGGTTCCTTACAGCTTATTAATCATATAATATTGTACAAACAATTGTACAAACAATGCTTTACAGATATTGGTGGTTACTCTACTAGAACAGAGGTATTAGATGGCAAGTAGTGTCACTGTGCATAGACTGAAAGTATTTATTCATCAGCTGATGTACAAAATCTAAACTTGTGAAAAAGTTATTTAAGACTTTTAAGTCCCAACTTGGCATATTAAAAAAATTATTTAAATGGGTAAACTACAATGTTTGAAAATATAAATTCAAAATCTGAATGTAACATTGATGATCACCTGTAGCTGAAGCAAGTACTAATGAAGGCCTGGCATGTAGCATGAGACTGGGAATAGTTGCATGAATAACACTCACTGGTCATTGGGACTGGCAGCTATGGAGAAGGACGAGGAGAGAGAAAGGATTCTAAACTGATTGGACTGGAAGTTAGTGGTGCCATTGACTTTTCCAGGCACTGAGAAGAAATAGATTTGGGAATAAGTTATACAACCATGTGGGATATACTGATTTTTGAGGTGCTTATGGGCCTTCATATAGTAAAAATCTTAATAATTTATTTATCTTAATTTTTCTGCTCACTTGCTAAAACTTTTACTCAAACTATAGAAAAGGGAAAATGGCATGGAAAGAGCTTTTGATCATCTTTCCTAAATACAGGTTGTTTTGGACCAGTTACTAACCTCAGTCTAAAAACCTACCTTCTACAGGTAATATATAATGGAATGGTTTTTTAAAAAAAGCAAATTGTTTTCCAGATAGAACACCCCTGTTAACACAGGATTAAGTGTTCACACCTCTTTAAAGTTAAGCAGGGTTTCAGTCTTCAGGGGGAATTAATTAAGTCTTCTTTGGGTAGATTAGAAAATGGTGAGTTGCTTTTTAAACAAGTAGGATGAAATTAGTCATTTTTGCTACACTGGGATATCCAACTCTCATGGGATAGTTGTTACTCTCAAAGCAGGTTACGCTGGGACCAGAGGTCGGATGTAACTGTGTGAACAACAGCCAGCCTCCACCCAAGCAAGAGCCCATACAATCTTACACACCCAAAGAAGAGCTGCTGATGCCTTTATGGCTAAGATAAAGAAGCATTTTAGATATGTATATATTAACTCAGTCCTCTTAACCCTATGAGATATTATCATGTCCATTTTACAGATGACTAAATGGAGACACAAAGAAATGAAATAATGTGCCCAAGGTCACATGCTAGTAAGTTGCTGATCAGGAATTTTAACCCAGGAAATCCTGGCTTCAGTGTCTATGATTCTACCCACTATACTACACTTCCTAAAAATGTAAAGTGGGAACCTTAACTTGATTTAATTGGGCTAACTCTGAAAATCTGGACAAGAAATTACATCAGTGGAAATTCTTTATTGGCCTTTGTTTTTTGAGATAGTTTCAATTCAATGAGACTTGATATTTCAGTGAAGGTTAGTTCACTAAATAAAACAATGTGATTTGAGCCTTTGAAGCAGAGTTTAGTATTGTGGTCAAGATTTCCGTGACTCAGCTGTCTGACTTTGGGCAAATCACTTAACTACCCCCAACTCCAATTCTTTATTTATTAAACAGGTAAATAATGAATGGTATTCCCTTAAAAGAATGTTGACGAGAATTGAGAAAGCAGATAAAGCTTTTAAAACAGTGCTTACCGTATAAGCATTAGTCATAATTATGCCTTTGTTAGATTCTTTTGGTCAGTAAATAAGAAAATTTAAATCTCAATGTTTGATTATAAAATCTGGTAACAGATGGGTGAAAAGGGAGCTGGAATGGGCTCACTCTGCAGCAGTTCGTGTTTAACCTTTCCTTCCAAAGTCCCCTCTCTTCTTATATCCTATACTATGAAGTGATAGGAAAAGATAAATGAAGTATTTTCTTTCTCAACAAATATTTGAAGGCATAGCCAATGTTGGTGAAGAGAGGTGAGGAAGACAGATGGGCTTTCTTACCGGATTTTAAAACCTGGAATAAAAACATTGAACAAATAGTAAGCGTTATGTCTGAATAAGGAAGGAAAAGGAAATTTAAACGTTCTTAACGGAGGAAAATAAAGACCCAAAGACTGAAAGGGCACAAAACGGTGCAAAAATTGAAGGAGAGATATGCATTAGGGTTGCTAGTGATAATTTCTGAGCCCAAGGCTCTCCTTAGTAATGAAATATGGCGTGAGGAGTTGAGATTCGTTCTGTGGTCTCTAAGTGTCAGTCGGAAGGTAACCTCTCGCTTCCTAGAGAAACAGATTCCGGCCTAGCCACACCATTTCACCAAAAATAAGTTTCAACCTTCTTTCGGTTTAGGCGCCCCCTTTCCTCTTGACCACGCCTCTTGAATCACTAAACTCGTCGTAAGCAAAAGAAATATCGCGAGACCTCTGCAATGTCTCCCTTCTGACGTTTTCAGAGGCGATAGTCGCTTTTGTTCTCGCGATATTTCCGGTACACGGGAGCTCGGGCGACCCGGGCTTCTGTGAAACATGGCGGTCGGCTGGGACCGTAACACAAGGTAAAATACTGAAACCCCGCTGGGTGCTGTTCCCTGGGTTGTTCCAGGGCTGCTCAGGGTGTGAATGCGGTTGAGGGGACTGAGAACTTGGCATTGGCTTGGCTCCCTGTCTTCATCGCTGTTGGAGAGCGGGCGGGATCTAGAAGCCGCTTCTTCCCTGGGGGCGTTACGGGCAGGACCCTGGGCAGCGATGCTACCGGGAGCTCCGCTCTGCCTGGTGCGGTTGCCTCCGTGCTATCTTGCAACTCGAAAGAGGTTAGGTGCTTCCTCGGTAGCACCTGATTCGGTCCCATTGCTTCTCACAGTGCCTCGGTGGCTTCTCCGGTCCGCAGGCAAGGGGTTCCTTGTTTTGAAGACCAGCCAGTCCTCCTAGGTTTCAGGCTCCCTACTCCCTTTTCAGACAAATACCATGTTCTTGGCAGCACGTTGCTCTCTCTTTTTAAAGAAAGAACGAGGTCTTGGCCTTGCCTCTAAAGAGAGTTTTGCATGCTGCTCCGGAAAAAGAAAAAGGGGCCGGGCAGGGCGAAATGCTAGGAGAGACAGGTCCCAGCGTCATTACTTTTCTCAACGCAAGAAACCGAAGGGAAAGTCGACTCGCAGTAGAGAATAGCCTTGGGTATCGGTAGTATATGGAGTTGATAAGTCATTATTTGAAAAAACACGTTTAAATAACTTTTATATTTAGGATTCAGAGCTCTCGGGACTTAAGTAAAAGTGACATCTGTTAAAATGTTGCAAGACTGGCTTTCAGAAGCAATTAAAATTACAGTTAAAAAACAGGATTTATTCATTCGTTTGAAGTTGTAGTTCAGTATTTCAATTAGTTGCCTAGCCTGATACGTTGAACTCTAGAAGACGGCCGTTATAAAGAAATTAACCACGACTTGTTCACTGAAGGAAGACTTATGGTTATTTACCTAATTTGTCTTCTGATATCTTCAAGTTGATGTGGTTATCCAGTTCTCCTAGAGGGAAAAACACGAGAAAAGAAATTCCATGTTTTTGGCTTTTTGTTTTTTGTTTTGTTTTGTTTGGTGGAGGAGGATTTTTTTCTTTTTGATAGTAAACGTTAGTACACAACCAAGTATTGTAATGGCTTTGTGGTACACCTAAAAATATATCAGGTTTGAAAGATCTCGCAAAGGAAATCAGGCTTAGTTCTGGAAAAACGACAAAGAATTAGGAAAAACCCCACAGATTTGATTTCTTTGGGGTTGATCATTTAAATGGAAGAAATGATGAAATTTATTTTTAATAGAAGTTATTTTTAGGCAGTCGATGCCTGCCACAACTCCTGTTTAATGATTTTCCAGTATTATCCTGCCTTTTAATGTCATGGTGGGCAAATTATTTAACCTCTCTGTGCCTTAGTTTCCTCATCATTAAAAAGAAAATAATAATAATAATACCTAATTCGTAGGGTAATTGTGAGAACTAAATGTGTTAAAACATGCAAAGCATTTAGAATAATGCCTGGCATGCAGTAAGTACTCAATGCCTGTTAGCTCTTGTTATTATTTTTTATTTGCATTTTCTAACTTCTATAGTTACAATGTTGCTTTAGTAGTTAGTCAAAATGTAGACTAAAGATGATACTTTTTAAAATAATTTCTTTCTCACCCCCCAAATTGATTAAGCACTATTCGTTGTGGTTAATATGTCCTTAAACTCCATCTTGCAGTTGCTTGCTTTCTTAAGCTATTATTCTCTATTAATTACTAAGACACAAATTCTTATTTTCTACTCCATATAGTCTTGTCATAGTCTAGGTCAGTTCTACCCCTCGAGGTGCCTTGTTAATCCATGTATGCTCCTTGCTTTTGAGAACATTCATTCTGTGATAAATATATTTCATGTATCCCTGACCTTTGAAGAAAAGGTCATGTTCCTTATACTTTTTTACTTTAATTTTGTACTTTTTTATTGAGTAACAACTATAGTCAAGTAGTCCTTTGAGGATTATACTTATCCATGCTTCACATTGCTTTACATTGCTACTAGGCACTTCCAGGTTATTGTTATCACTCTAGAGTCTTTATCTCTTAATTTTTATTCTATCAGTTTATACATCTATGAGATTATCAGCTAACCTTAGATACTGTCCCACTTGCCTTAAAGACTTTTAACATCTAAATCTCAAATATTCTATAAATCTTTGCATTTCTTCAGAGAATTAGAAACAGGTATTTATTAAATGCTTCATTTTTATCTTGATTAAAAACTGTGAGTTAGCCATTATGTCTCCACCCCTTTTAAAACAAAATTATGGAAAGAGGATTCTGAGAAGTTGACAGTCTTTCCAAATTTGTCACACAACTAGTATATGCCTAGATAATCAGGTTTTTCAGATCATATACTCACATTTATATTGTCTTACTTGACTTCCAAATAAACCTTTTTGGCAATTAGAAGGCTATTAGATCTGTTTGAATTATGTAGGAGTAAACAACTTTTAAACCATAACATTTAACTCTTGTAAAAGATCCCCATTTTAAAGTAAATTGAATAAGTATGTTCGTTTGGATATCCACTCTTTGTCAAATGAAACTAACCTATCTTTATGTTTTTTTATTAGAAAGTATTCTAATGCAATATAGTCAAGTAATTTAAAATTACAGATAAGTTGTGGTTTTACCTTTTATTTCTGAAGTTCAGCAATGGCCTAAATAATACTTGTTTTAATCTCTTTCTTGTTAATGGCCTATGTTAGTGTCCTGGGGCTGCTGTAACAAATTACCATAAACTGGGAGGCTTAAAACAAAAGAAATTTATTCTCTCACAGTTCTGGAGGCTGGAAGTCTGAAATTAAGGTGTTGGTAGGACCATTCTCTCTCTGAAGACTCCCTGAAAGAATCCTTCCTTGCCTCTTCCTAGCTTTTGGGAAGTCCTTGGTGCTGCTTGGTTTATAGACACATCACTCTAATCTCTGCCTCTGTCTTTACATGGCATTCTCCACTGTGTGTCTGTATGTCTTCACATGGCCTTCTTATAAGGACACCAGTCATTAGATTTTGGGTCACCCTAAGCTAGAATGATCTCATCTTAACTAATTATGTCTGCAAAGACCTAAATATTTCCAAATAAGGCCCATCTATAGATACCAGGGATTAGTACATCAACATATCTTTTTGGGGACACAGTTCAACCCACAACATGGCCATGTATATTAATTAAATATTTCTCCTATTGCCAAATGTATATTAAAAATAGAAGTTAACTGAAGACTTGGGTAGCAGGAGATAAATTATGTGTCCATTTTTGTTTAGAGAAGTAATTAAACTTAATTGAGCAGACTAAAAAGTTTCATGAATTCTATATTTCAATTTTGGCAAAGGATCTGATAGTCTCATTATATTCAAATGGATACAATTATGAAATATAGGCTGTATTACTTACGTTAAATGTTAATGTCTGTGTTACATCATGAATGTTGATAATGTCTGTGTTATAGCACAAAAAGTGGTTTCTTATTTCTTGTGCGGTTTTTCAAAATATAATTGGCCCTCTGATCTGTGGGTTCTGTTATCTGTGGATTCAACCAACCACACATTGAAAATATTAGGAAAAAAAATTACATCTATACTGAACATTTACAGACTTTTTTTTCTTATCATTCACTAAACAATACAGTATAACAACTATTTGCATAGCACTTCCATTGTATTGGGTATTATAAGTAATCTAGAGATGTCAGTATACAGGAAAATGCATATGGATTATATGCAGACATCACACAATTTTATATTGGGGACTTGAGCATCCAAGGATTTTGGTATTTGAGGGAGGTCCAGGAACCAATACCCATTGGATACTGAGGGACGACTGTATTGTCGTAGTCTCAGCTGTTATCAGTGACTTTTTGTTTTTGTTTTGTTTTTTAATATTCAATACAGTTTAGGAGAGACATCAAAGAAAACAGATGTGGTACTGGAGATTGTCAAGGTATGAATAGCAGCACCAACCAGTAGGCAAAGGAGTCTAGTGCAATGGCTCCTAAATTTTTAGATTTTGTGGACCAATACAAAAAATACATAGGAAAAAAGGAAAAGGACTGGGTTTGAGGACTGACACAGAATTATGATTTTTTAATTTACTGAATAAAGATATCCAGAAACACAAACAAAAAACCTCTGTTATCTGCTTTTATCATTTCATAAAGGAAAGGATATTTTGATACATTAAAAGGAAGGAAGTAGTCTCGGAATAAATGACATTTTTTGGGAATAGATTCAGCTTCTAAAAATTTTTTGGGCATTGTTCATGACTTTTTCATTTTAGATAGGCATTAGAAAATTTTGTCACAGAATGGCAGTGACTTCTTAGAATCATTGATCTAGGCTGTGTCTAAACACATTTTTGAAAATGACTGACCAAGCTGGATGGAGAGGCAAATAGACTGGGAATGGGAGCAATGGAATTGGGTAACTGCTTTGAGAACACCAGTGAAGATGAAGAGCAGATTTGTCATAGTCAGGAAAAAGCTTGAGGGATAGTTAATTCCACTCCAGAGAGGGAAGTATGTTTTGGGTTTTAGAGGTGGCATAGTTTTAAGAGTTGAGAGGAGCCTAAACATGGCCTTGCTTGTGGGTGGCTTTGCATAGAAATAAAATGGAGGTCACTAGAATAGAAAAACTATTAAGCTTACAGGGTAAAAAGGTTTTATTGTGAATGGATGCCATAGGATGAATGCCATAGGATTATGAGTTCCAAAGGATGATAGTGGAATGGGGAAGAAGAGATTCATATTGAATGATCCAGGTGCTGAAGTCATTAAGGCAATTATAAATATATCCAGATGTTAATGGAAGATGGCAGCAAGCACTGAAGTGAGAGTCAGTGTGTTCTGTGGTTTGGAGCATAGACTGAAGCCAAGCTGCTTGGGATCAAAATCCAAGTTCTACCACTACTGTGTGGTCCAGGGAAAATTATTTGATCATTCTTGCTTCATTTTCTCATCTGTAAAAAAGAAGGAAAATAGTATCTGCTTCATAGAGTCATTTATAGGATTACATGAATTAATACATAAAATGCTTCAAATGATGGCACAAAACATGACAACTATAATTTCTACTTATGTGATATATGTGTCAACTAGTATTATTAGGGTAAAGTAGACTTGAAAAGGGAAGAAATGGTTGAGAAATGTGATGAAACCTGAGTCTGAGACCTGTGAGTCCCAGAAATGAACTAAAGATTGTAAAGAAATTACCACCAAGAAAAAGTCAGATTTCATAAAGAGAGCAGGTAGAAGGATTGCTTTTAGAAAAACTAGAAGTTTTTGGATAACTTGTTTACGTCAGAACGGTGGTTTTATAGAGTTGAGTGGCAAGTATTAGAGATGGTATGAATTTCTTGGAGTTAGGTGAGTGCTAAGCTTACAGGAATGGGACAAGAGAATTAGCAAAATGGCAAGTGCTCCATTCTAGAATTTTAATTATGGAAACTCCATATGGAGGAAGCTAGAGAATGGGGGGTAGCTAAGTGGGACATACTAGCTACACTTTCAAGGGAGGAGTGCTAAATAAGTTGGGCATATTATTAGGGGGTTTGTAAAACTAGCTGTCATATCTTTATATTATAAATATATGACTTAAAGCATTTGTAAAGCTTATTATAAAATACAACATTATAGAAAGTTTTAGATGTAGAATTCACTGTTTTATTCATTTGCTCAACAATGCTATACCGACTATATGACAGCCACCGTGCTAGGTCTTAGGGATATTATGGTGAACAAAATGGAAAAATCTTCCTCCTTGTGGATTTTATATTTTATGTATTTACTTTCCTAAGTTTGACACCCTATTGTGATTTGAAAGCTGTGCTACTATGGGTGTTTTCAGGGAAATTTCCTTCCTTCCCTGCTGTGCCAGGCATTGGAGATACAAAGATCGAGTTAGATTTGGTTCCTGCCCTAACAAATCCAATGGAGAAAACAGAAAATGAAACAAGCAATTAGAAATAGTGTGATAAAGGTACAGTATTCTAGAAGCATATAGATTTTGAGGGTCACGGAAGGTGTTTTTCCTCTCAAGGGAAAGATGAGTAGATTAGGAGTTAGTAAAATGTAAAGGTAGGGGAGGGGGAAAACATTTCTGGCAGAGAAAATAGCATATTTAAGAAGTTGAAAGTGATTCAGTATGGCTGGAACTTAGATGTGTGAGGGCTTTGGTGTGAAGAGAGGTAAGTGGGACCTGGTTTTTGAAGGGCTTTGTAAACCATGTTAGGATAGAGTCCAAACTCTAAATGCAATGGGAAGTTATTCAAAGATTTTATGAGCAGTGTTATATGATCAGATTTATGTATCGAAAAGATTATTTTAGTATGGAGAGTGAATTGAAAGGTAGAGCAGGATTAGAGGTTGTAGAAACAATGCAGTGATAGATTATGACACTTGGTACTAGGGTCCTTATAAGGAACTTCATAAGGGCCTGAAGAAGAGAGGACAGATTTGAGAGAAATTTGGGAAGAGCTGAAGTCTAAGGATATAACTCATGTTTCTGGCTTGTGCAGTTGGGTGCATGTTGTTATCATTAACTAAGAGAATACATGAAGAACAGTTTTGATAGGGTGAAGTATTCATTTTTGGATTTGTTAAGTTAGAATTGTCTTTGGAATGTCCAAATGAAAATGTAATATTAATCAAAGTGAAAGATACACATATCTGCAGAGAGATTTGGGCTGGGAATAAAGATTTGGGAGAAATCAACATGGAAATGGAAATGGAAGAAATGGGTGATCACTTGGGGAAATTGTGGAGGTTGGGGGGGGGCTAGTGTAGAATCTGAGAGGAAGATCAGTCTGCAAAATAAGCTAAAGAAGGTCTTACAGGTAGTACGAGAATCACAAGTGTGGTATCACTTAAGCCAAGGTAAGAGACTGTTTCAAGAAGGAAAAGAAGTGATAAACAGTATATTTTCTCAGAGGTGAAATTAGATAAGGACTAAGGAATATCCATTGGATTTAGTACTAAGAAAGTTGTTAATTACCTTGCTCAGAGCAAATTTAGTTAAAAGGTGAGAGTGGGGCGAGGATGGCAGTGGATGAATGGGGACAAATCATTCTTTTAAGTTGGCTACAGGTATGCTGCCAGAGATCTATAGTTAGAGTTAAACTTGAGTTTAAAGGAGAATTTTGTTTTAAAGATAAGAGGCATGAACATATTTAATATTTAACTCAAATCGGAAAGAATGTATAGAAATTGGAAGATTGAACAAGGGTCAATCTTGGTGCTGTTACTACCCCTATGAAGGTACAGAAATAAGTTTGATTACTTTGTCAGAGCTGAACAGGCTTAGGGGGCGTGGCTTATTCCTAACAGACAATCAGCTTAATTTACACATTATTAATAGAACACCAGTTTTATAACTGACATTTGTATCAGTTTTGTCTACATCATCTGTTTTGTTTATATCATCTATTTTTTTTTTTAGGAAAACCATGTACATGAGAAGCAAAATCATAATTTGAAGGCTCCTTTGTGAGCATAGAATCAGCGAGGGTAGTTAGCTGGGTTTTTAATGGCAAATTAAATCAATGTATGAATGCTTTCAACTTTACTTTTAAGCAGTAGCTCCTGCATGAACTGATGAGTAGTGTCCTGGCCAGGGCCTCTCTCTTTTAGACAGTGTTCATGATTACTGCCAGTTTTTGCTTTCTGTTGCTTCTTTTTCTCCATTAATGTCCTTTCTATGGGCTATTCTTTCTACATTAATCCTACCCATTATATTTCAGACCTAAAATCTGTCTGCTTTCTTCCAGAGACTTTTTTCTTACAGTGACTTCTGTAACCGTCTGACTTACTCTGCTATAAATTTTGATTTCTGGGAATTCTTTATAATATTACTTGTATTATTTATAAATCAGTCTTATAAATTATATAAATATCTGGCAATTTAGTGATCATTTGTTTGGCTTTGTAACATTTTAGATGTAGTTGGCATACTGATCAAAAAGGGAATAGCAAGAATTAATTTTTTTTTTTTGAGACAGGGTCTCAATCTGTCACCCAGGCTGGAGTGCAGTGGTGTGATCATAGTGCACTGTAAGCTTGAACTCCTGGGCTCAAGTGATCCTACTGCCTCAGTACCTAGGGCTACGGGTATGCACCACCTCACCTAACCATTTTTTAAGTTTTTTTTTTTTTTTTTTTTTTTATATAGAGACAGGGTCTCACTGTGTTGCCTGGTCTTGAACTCCTGACCTCAAGCGATCCTCCTACTTCGGCCTCCCAAAGTGCTGGGTTTATAGGCATGGGACACTGACCTAAATTTTTAAATAATTTCTAAATTATAAAAATAGATAATTTAGAAAGTCTGAAAATTATGTGAAGAAGACAGTTAAAATTCTCTAATCTACTTTTAACATTTTTCTGAATAGACAGTTTCTTGTATCGCTTTTCCTGTTTCCCCCAAAATTAGGACCCATATGGCCTTCTCATCGTTGTGTTGTTGTATCGTATTTCCTTACGTCATTAAATACTTTGTTTTATAAGATTTTCAGTGGTTACATACATTAAGACCTGTTTATTCACCATAATTTGTACATTGGATACCATGAGTTCAATTTTGTTTTCAGTATTTAAAAATAACAGTATGAGAAATAGCCTCATAATCAAATTTTTGCTGATAAACAAGATTATTGCCTTAGGATACATTCTTAAAGAGATTTTTACTTAGTTACAAAGGGAGTGGTGAATATTTATATTCTTGTTAGTAATGTATGAGCATGCTATTTTACTTCATTGCTATCCATTTCTGGGAATGTATTATGTTCATATATTTTTCAATTTAACAGGAGAAAAATTATTTTAATTTATATATTTAAATATTATGAATGTGATTGCTTTCTTTTTCACTTTTTTTGTGCTATTTAATGTGTTTGTGTGTGTAAATTGCCTTTCATTAGTAGTTTTTTTCAGGATATGTGTGCATGAATGGGGAAAGGAGTGTGGATAAGTAGTGGTTTTTTTTTCTCCAGAGATGAGAATGCTAAGTTGTTCTAAGGACATTTGTCATTTATCCTAAATCTTTTATCTCTTTAGAGGATTCATTTATCCCTTATTTTTTTTTTTTTTTTATTCCTTAGCATGACCATATGAAGGAAGAGGAAGGTTTACCTGAAGATGAGGCGATTGAATCGGAAAAAAACCTTAAGTTTGGTGAAAGAGTTGGATGCCTTTCCGAAGGTTCCTGACAGCTATGTAGAGACTTCAGCCAGTGGGGGTACAGGTAAGTACGAGTTCAAATTAAGAGTCCTTTAATAAGTGCAACTTCTGAGTGATCCAGTCAGCAACATAGATAAATGTAGCCCTGAGGAAGAACTCGTCAATGAATTGTGCAGTAACTTTGTAACTAATCTGTCCTCATGTCACACTGTTGGCCCTAGTTTTATTCTTATTAGTATTCTCTGTAGCATCTAACCCAGTGCCACCTGCATTTAGCAGTGTTTATTAAACCATTAATGAGCAAATTAATCCAATTTTACTGCTTTGGTGTGCCCTTCAGTTATGTATAATTACATTAACAAGATTTTTATGTATAAATGAAATCGAAGTTGGAAGAAGTTATTTAATGATGTTGAAATTGTCTCATTATTTTGGTTAAGAGTAAATCAATATAGACATGAATAAAATTCTCAAATGTTACATTACTGTTGTGAGGCAGCATGGGGTAATGGTTAGTTAAGAGCTTAGACTTTGGAACCTGATCAGCTTCAAATCTCACCTCTGCCCCTTCCTAACTAGGTGACCTTGAGAAAGTTACTCAAGTCTGTGCTTTTGTTTCTTCTTCCGTGAAATAGGGATAATATTAGTATTTACCTCCCAGGGTTACTGTATCAATTAAATAAGTTAATATTTATAAAATGCTTAGAGCAGTGCCTGGTACAAA